AAGAAATAACTGAAGAAGAAACTGTTTCTTGCAACAACCGTGAAAGTTCACCATCAGAAATTTCTGGACCACCACAAGAAACCAGTCGATGCTCTACGAGTCCAACTGAGAACCTTAGGGAGCCTCTATCTACGAATCCTGGGTATTTGGAGGCACTAAAAGACGATCCCGAATCTATCAGGTTGGTTCTTATGTTCTCACACCTGACTTTTGCATATACATATATGTTCTCTCTATTTCTGAAAAGCTTTGGAGAATAGAATCCAGTTTATATGAGATGTATACCTTTTGATTTTATAGATTTGTTAGGATGGTATTTTATTACCTGTAATAGCCAGCTTGGAAACTTCGTAGATGTCCACGAAATTGTGCAGAAAGCCTTTTAGGCATGTCAATCTGCATCTTTAGTAATTAATTATTCACATTGATCTGTTCTAAGATAATTCATCTACGTTGAATACTTAATTCATAGTATGTCTTGTGTTCTATTATTCAAGTTTCTTCTTTCATAGAAGGGTGCTAATTTAGGTGACTTTGTTCGTAACATAAGTAATACGAAGCTGTTGTATGTCATGCATGATTTGTGTGATCATACTGTTGACAATTTAAATCTCGTGCTTTGCTTGAACTTGTGATCTCTGCCTTGCGTGTACTTACTCGATCTCTTTGTTATTCTTATTCCTTGTCTGATGTCTTAGCTAATTATATGACATATTCTACTTAGTCCTAAATGAGTATACGGTTAGACACTGCAGTTAAGCCTCAAGACTAACTGTATTTTTCTTCACTTTCCATGCAGATCCTTCCAAAACTTTATTTCTCGAACTGATCCTGAAACCTTGTCTGCCATTAATGGTGGAAGAGTTGATGGCATGTCTCCTGATATGGTAAAGACTGCTTCGAATATTATTGGCAAGATGTCCCCTGAAGAACTTCAAAAAATGTTTCAGATGGCTTCCTCCTTCCAAGGGAAAAATCCAATGTCCAGCTTTAGCCCTGGATCGGTTCCAACGGACATGTCACCTGACATGCTTAAGACCGCGAGTGAAATGATGGGTAAGATGCCACCAGAAGAACTTCAAAAGATGTTTGAAATGGCCTCCTCTTTGAAGGGTAAAGAGGTGGGATCATCAACAGCATCTTTACATTCTAGTTCTGGCTCAGTTCCACCCGATGTGACGCCTGACATGCTTAAGATGGCAACTGATATGATGGATAAGATGTCAGCAGAGGAACGTCAAAAAATGTTTGAAATTGCATCATCTTTGAGAGGGACAGATACGGCATCGACATCAGCTTTTCATCCTAATGGATTCATGTCAGATGATGATTCTAAAGCTAAAGAAGATTTCAGAGCAAATGGTGATCATGTTGGTGAAAGTAGTTTTTCGAGTTTGCATTCAACGAGTGCGCCTCTATCAAGCTTGTCAAGTTCGAGTACTAACCTGCAGGAACAAATGAGAAACCAAATGAAAGATCCAGCTATGCGACAGGTTTTTTTCTTAAAACTCGTTACATATTATTTTCTATGTTTTGTTATTGGGTTAAATTCACTGGTGGCCACCAAACTTTATACTTTGTGAAAAAACAATAAAATAAAATAAAAACTTATTTGAAAAAGTTTTTAAAATAAAATAAAAACTTATTTTTTAAAAAAAAAAGTTACTTAGAAAAATNCCAAACTTTATACTTGGTGAAAAAATAATAAAATAAAATAAAAACTTATTTGAAAAAGTTTTTAAAATAAAATAAAAACTTATTTTTTTTAAAAAAAAGTTACTTAGAAAAATAAAATTAAATAAAAAAGTTATTTAAAAAAAATTCTTTTAAAAATATAATATAATATAAAATAAAATAAAAACTTATTATAAAATAAACGTTTTAAGTTTTTTTTTAAAAAATAAGTTTTTATTTTAATTTATTTTAATATATATAATGCAAAGTTACTGTTTTACCCCTTTCAAAATTCATGAAAATGGTAAGAAGAAGTTAAGTGGCCATGGTGAAATGTTATATG